CCCAGTGATGCTCCATTTTGTTATTTCCTGTCAATACTCTGAACTTCCCTTGGTCTCATTTTATTAGCTCTCTCCCCTCCCTGGTACACAACCTCCTTCTTTGTTGTATCATATGCTCGCTCTCAGATTGGACCAATGATGAAGCACTTTGTTCAGACAAAATTCCTCCTGACCCAACCACGCGTCTGTCTGATGAAGCCCCCTTGGTGAGTCTGGGGCTCCAGCAGCTGAGACAAGTAGCAGGTCTCCAGCATCCCCCTTCGGGGACAAAAGGGAGCATGCTTTCTGTGAAGAGTTACTTCAACTCTAAATTAAAGTAAACTCTAAGAATAAGTCATGTAGAAAAGCTTCCCCACGCCCAGCAGGCCCAGCCGCCATGTGCAAATACCACCCCCCACCTTCCACATTCCTACTTTTGTTGGCTGGACGCACCCTAAATCCTGCGTCAATGGGTGGACGTATAAAAACATTTCTCCCTAAGCTGTCCTAATTATGGCCCTGCTCTGGTGAAAAGGAAGAAGAAAGGCTAGTTAACCTTTTTCCTCGTTGCCTGACTTCAGCGTAGCCCTGCTCCTCAGCCACCTCAGAAACGTGTACCCTGGGTCAGGGTCCAAGCATGTGCTCAGCTAACACGTCAGAGACATTAGGGAAAGGGAGAGTTTCCGAAGGTAAATCCACTCATTTAAGAATAATTATTTTCCCTTCCCCTTGACCGTACTTTTTTTCTTCTGAAGACTCTCTCCTTATTCCTTCAAGCTGCATATAATTCTACGGCCTTTCTTCTAAGCACTTTTCTATGCTATTAGATTGAAACACGTAATTCGCCATTTTCCGTCAGTCAAAAGCGGTAGCACACAAACAAAAATTTCATATGACTTGATCTAAACCTTGGGGTTTTACTTTCTATTAACCAGTTGCCATCGAGGCAACTCTGACTCATGATGACCCCAGGTGTGTCAGAGAAGAACTATGCCCCATAGGGGTTTCGATGGCTAATTTTTCAGAAGTAGATTGCAAGGTCTTTCTTCCGAGGCACCTCTGGGTGGACTCAAACCTCCAACCTTTTGGTTAACAGCTGAGTGTGTTAAGCATTTGAAAGACCCAGGGACTCCTTACTTTCTAAAGTATACAAAGAGAAATAGAGAGGAGGCTCATTGGAAGAGAAACTCTATGTGTTAAGAGATGTTCACGTAACAAGGACCACCAAAAACTGGGGTAGTCAAATTATTTTAACTTAAACGTATGTAGATAAGTGCTCATAATGGGCTCCTGACTGATCTGCATTGAAGACACAGTTCAATATTTGTGACTGGTGCCAGCCCCAGGCACTCCAGCAGAAAGAGGCTCGTCCCAACGGCATGAGCCCTGGGATAGCTGGTCAGCTGGATGAAGCAAATCCTTCCAAGCTGCCTCTCAGTCACTCTGCACTTCCATTATCCATAACTTCATATAGATGCTTTCTAAGCAGAATTATGTTCTGTCCTGTGTACTGAGGTCCATGTGTCTACTTGTGACGTAAGGCTCAGTTTTCCTAAGTGCTGACTTCTAAGCTCCCTAATTCTATTTGTGCTTGGAAATACTGGTTTTATAAACTTCAGTTATATGCCCTTTCAACTCTCCTCTTCCCCAATGAAAAGGATTCATTTTTTGTGAACTATTAATGCCACGTCACTTTCTCCATTTAGGATCTAAATCTACCTCAGGAGCATACTTTGATTATGGAACTATATTCACAACTTTGCTCTTCTATTTTAGGTGCGTAACGAGGACTAGCGGGACTAAGCCTTGGGTAGAAGTAGTGGCATGACTATCACAATTTTCCAAAGTGATAGATAACAACACTCAACAGACGTCTGCATGTTTCACTACAAAAATAAATTTCAGTTAGTCTGATCCCAAATCAGCATTCAAATCAACTCCTGGATGTCAAAAAACCTTGAGTGAAATTATGGCACAGCTGTCAGTTACTGGAAAGGCCACAAAGATCTGAATCCCAATTTCAACTTTGCCGCAAGTAGTCCAATTCACTCTCAGGAGAACTACTTTTATCTCTCTCCCTCGATGTCTACATATTTGCTCTAACAAATTTAACCAGTCACCTCAGCAAAGTTCTATAAGAATTTAAAATAAGAAATGTTGAAAGATCTAAGTAATCTTTTCAGGAATAGAAAAGGCAAGCATTTTCCATAGTAGTATCTGTTTTTAAAAGAAAGACAGCTGCAGATCAAAATAAAGGATTCCAAGTACCCAGTCTCTCTGAATTGGAATCGACTAGATGACAACAGGTTTGGTTTTCTCCCTTTTCCAAAGCAGTTGCTTCAAAGGCCTTAGCATACCCTACAAATGAGACTTTTCAGAGTAGCTAAATTGACATAACGTGGGTTTCTCTCCTTAAAGAGCACCATGAATCAGCAATCTAACACTACGCTACGCCTTTACAGGTGTCTGCTATGATTAAAAGGCTTGCGTGTTGTCCTTAGGATTACAAAAGTGACCTCCACAGACCAAAAGAGCTCTCAAAGTCTTGCGCCACTGACACACCATGAACGCCTTTCTCTGCTCTGTCAATAAGCGACAACTCTCTACTTATTCTACTGTCAACTTTTTGCTAAATTCAATTACCAAATAGAATCTTTTACAGAAGCATCTGAGGTATCTATTAAGTTTCTCAAAAAATAACACATCGAGAAAATACATGTAATCTTTCCAAAGAAATGATAATCCCCAACATTCAATGAACCTGAAAGAAAAAGTAAACTTCAATTTACAGCGAAAACAATTTGATCTTTCCAACTCTTGCTTTCTAAAGCACTACTTGACTAGCTTACTGTTAATCACGTGACTGCTATCATAATGGATGCAGGCAGCAGCTTTTCCAAATATTAAAAATGAGTCCTCAAAGTGGAGGGGAAAAAAGATTCAGGGCTCTCCTAGTATTTTATCCAATGTGTTCCAAAAAAGTAGGCATGGTATTACTGGATGTAATCAGTAAAACCTGTAATTATGAAAATAAAAAAAGAAAACCGAGAATTAAACTTCAAAAAAAAAAAACCCCAGGGGTCACAAATGATCCACCAGGTTTCCCACTACAAACCGTTAGAGGAATCTAAATGTGCTCGGTGCCTGAGCATCACACATTCAGGAAACAGAATGTTCTCCTGTCTCTTCCCCACAGGACTAAAGACTAAGAAATGAGAAGCACAATATGGGTTGATGCATCATGTCTTTTTACCCACTTGCTGCAGATACCCTTGTAAATGTACGCGTAGATTTAGCATGGGTTTCTCTAAGGGATTCAAGAAACCACTCTTCTACATTTTTGTTGGTCCAATATGTATCTGAGCCGAGTAGACTATCATATAATACTTACAAACCCGTAATGATTAAAAACTGCATGCAGGTGATTTAGCTAAATCTCTAACAGGAAAAATGTTATAGATTATTTTTTGTTTTGTTTTGAAAAAGTGCACAAGGGTCGTTTTCCTCACCCCAGAATATAAATAACCCTGCAGAATCACTTTGGTTTCTATTATTCTTGAACTTCTAGGTAAAAGCAACACCCACTAACCAGTTTGCAGAAAGGAAAAAACAATACCCCTGGCTATGAAGAGAAAGTTCAAATTCTGTAACTGAAACACCATGATAACACTTACAAGAAGAACTACCCAAACCGAAAAATTAATGAAAAATTCAAAATTAAAATTTCTAATTTAAAAAACGTAACCTAGGGAAATTACGAAAACAAAGTTGGCCAACTTCTTTAAACATGCACATGCCTGCTATAAGGAATGTGATTGGTTCCAATCAACCATCTCTGAACACTCAAGGTTACCTGACTCCAAGAAATTCATTACAACTGTGCCCCAATCTGAAGTTACTCCTTGTCTATGTGGTGTTCAGGAGAACAGAGGTAAGCGTGTGTGTGTGTGGGAGAGGGCTATGAGAAAACTGAAGGAAAAGAGGGGCAGTCCTCCGCGGGGATCACGTGTTGTTTGCTCAGAAAGTACGCATGCCCAGGAGAGACCACCAGCTCAAGGCCAAAGGAGCTAATTTATGCAAACAGGTGTGGTTAATTAGCAGAATGATAGCCAAAAAAGCTGGCAGGTACCTGTAACTGCCCAGCAGTCAGTACTCCAACACAGGGCCACCTGAGCATAGGCTACCTGGACACGAGTGACACCCCAGTGCAGAATCACCCAAGCAGAACTACTCAGGCAAGGGACCACCTGGGTGCAGTGCTACTTGAGTGCAAGTAACCTGGATGTGGAACACCTGAGCATGGGGCTACTCGGGCTTGGGCTACCTGGATTCAGGACACCTGGGTGCCAGCAACCAGCACAGGCTTCCTTGACATGAGCACCAGGTGGGCGAGGAACAGGATGTGTGGAGGTTATCTGGGAATGGGACTACCTGGACACAGCGGCACGGGGAGCAGGACCACAGAGACAGGGGGCTTCCTGGGTATGGGCTACCCTGATGTGGAGTACCTGGACGGGAGGCTACATGAAAGCAGGGTACGTGGGCATGGGGCTGCCTGGATACGAGTACCTGGGTGTGTGGCTTCCTGAGCACAGTGCCACCCGGGCACGGGACCAACAGAGCAGGGACCTACCTGGTTGCCGGCTACCAGGGCACCATGCCACCCAAGTGTGGAACCACTGGGGCATGGGGCTATCTGGATCTGGGCTGAGCATGGGGCTACCTGGATGTGGGGTACATGAGCGTCGGGCTTCCTGGGCACAGCGCCACCCAGGCACGAGACCACCAGGGCAGGGAGCTACCTGGATGAGGGGTATGAGAGCATGGGGCTACCTGGGCACGGCATCACGGCAGGGGACCACCAGGGCAGGAGACTACCTGGGTGTGTGGGCGTGGGGCTACCAGGGCGCGGCGTCAGCCAGGCGCAGGACTGCTCAGGCAGGGGGCCACCTGGGTGCGGGGTACCTGGGCATGGAGCTACCTAGCCACGGCCCCATCCGGACGCACGCGCGCTGCCTCACCTGGCGCAAGCTCGGGCGCACCCTCCTCGCCGCTGTCGTCGGCGGCCTCGTCGGCCAGGCCAGAGCCCGTGGAGTCGTCGGC